GGAGCGGGGCGAGGTCAAAAGTAAAAAATTCCCAGTATAGTTACTTTTTAAAATATCAGGGAAAACATTTTTAAGAAAAACCAGAATTTTTACTAAACACCTAACAGCATTCTAGTATTTTTTATTATCTATACTTACTAAATACTACCCAAAATAGATTGCTATAGTAGCAGTATAAATATATTATATAATTAAGTGTAGGTACTTACAGTAGCGTATTTAGGGGGGGCGAAGGGGGTAAATTTCCCCGGTGCTCCAAATTCCGAGTCCTCAAAAGGGCGCTGTCGCTAGAGGTTATAACGAAAAAAAATGTTTGTGTTAATGGTAAAATAAAAGTGTTCTCTAAATATAAGTGGAAGCATAAATCCAATAAGGGAAAAATATACATTTTGGGCTATTTTTGATTTTGGTTTAAATTTTTAATACCGGTAGAACCGTGTATTTTGACCCAGTTAAATTTTACCCCTCGGTAAATATTCACTAGAGAAATTTTATCCCCCGGTAAATATTCACTAGCAAAATTGTCCCGGGGTTAAATTTTCACGGCAGGGTTAAATATCCCTAGTGAATATTTACCACAAGTAAAGTTTCGCTAGGGATATTTTACCCAGATAATATTTCACAAGTGAAATTTTACCTACCGGTAAAAATTCACTAGATCAAATTCATGTATTTACACTATTAAAATGATTTTATATGAATTAATCTTTTACGTTAACTTAACTAGGATTAAGGTCTATTTCCCCAGCCACCCCCTTCTCAAAACCAAAATAAAATAAAAATACATTTTACAAATTTTTTCTTTAGCTTTCATTTGAAATGTTTTATGAATTTAATGACATTGAATGTTTAGGCTTTGTACCCATACCTTTAAATGATCTAAAATAATCATTTAATTATTATTTTTAGTTAAAATCACTAACAGCTGTAATGTTGCAAGATAAAATGTTAGTTAAATTAAAAAAATCATAATCATGTAAAATAATAAATGTACACAATTTCATTTTAAGTAATATTTAAAAAATTGAATTAATATTGTTCTTTGAGTTTTTGGAAAATCATACAGTAAGTATATTGAAAATTTCAATGACAAATAATAAGATATGTAATGCGAAAAGTTTCAAATCTATGAATAATATGTTTAAATATATCAAGTACCGTAAAATCTGTAAACGGACAACTCTCAAAAGCGAATACCTCCAAATAGAGAACGACATTTTGATGACCTAGAGTTTCAGGTATTTAGAGGTTCCACTGTACCTATCTATATATACAGTTTTTCGTTATTGCATTACAACAAAATAATAAAATCAATTTTGTATAAAACTTTTAGTTTTACTATTTTGTTTTATGTTTTTCAAAAAATATATTGAAGTTGAATGTAGGTTCTTTTATTAGTTGTCTAGTAATTTACAAATTACAATTTTAATTTATTCAGTTAAGTTAAAGTAAATGATTAATGTATTTGATACCTATACATTTTAAAATTGTTATATTGTCTATCTTGTGAATGTAAGACGAAGAATTCAAACATATAATAAATAGCTAAACCAAACATATTATTTTCAAATATATAATATTTTATTAAGTATAGTGAATTTTTACCCTGGGGTAATATCACTGGTGAAATTCTACCGGGGTAAAATATAAATAGCGAAATTTTACTTGAGGTAAATAATCGCTAGTGAATTTTACATTTGGAGGGGTAAAATATAACTATCGAAAATTTACCGGGGTATAAAATATCTAGGGAAATTTTACCGGGGGTAAATAATCGCTAGTGATATTTTATCTTAGTGGTTTAAAATATCACTCAGGTAAATTTTCACGGTTACACCGGTATTAGGAAATTTCGGTTTTGGTTTCGATTTTGTATACCGGTTTTCAATTTTTTTCGGTTTCGGTTTTCAATTTAATACCGGTTTTCAATTTTTTCCGATTTTGTTTTTGATGTTGTTTTCGGTTTCAGTTTTTAAACGGTTTATACAGGTTTCTAAAATCGGTTTCAAGGCCTGGACTATTAACATTCATTCTTAGTTTATACATTTTTTTGAATTGCCAGGATCGAGAGTTCGTCTGTTGTGTAAAGTAAACTTTCTAAAATGTCAAGATACAAAGAATTAAAAAAAAAAATAAATACAGTTTTCTAAATTATATTTTCGGTTTCGGTTTTGAAGTTAATATCGATATTCAATTTTTTTCCGGTTTCGGTTTGGGATTTTATTTTGTTTTCGGTTTTGGATTTATAAAGTTTTATACCGGTTTCAAGCCCTGCACTTTTAACGGAGAGAAAATCAAATTCTAAATTAGAGGGGGCTTAAGAGTATTTTGTGACAAAAGGACACTGAGAAAAAAATGTGTGTACCTAGGGCGCCAAATCGCAAATACGTCTCTGGGTACTTATTAATTATACTATATAATCATACTGACTGGGTTAAGCCCGCCTTCGCTTCGATTGTTTTTCGTATGAAATATTTTATCATTGAATTAAAATTTAATATATTATACTATATTACAGTGATTTACTCAATGACGAGGTACAATAGACATCTACTGTACAGCGGTGTTTATTGTAGGTATTGTAAAAACAAAAGTAAATTAAAAAAGATAGTAGGTAAAGAAACTGCCCTTAACGATGTATGTATACCTAAATATTATTTGAAAACATGCGTTTAATCCACTCTAAATAATAATAAACCGTCGGGAATAATAAACCATTTACTTAAAATGTACATTGGACGCCATTTGGCGTCAAACACGTTTCTGATTGATCCTCGTGACGCCAAATTGCGTCAGTACGCATTCGACGTGTTCCCTCTGTTTAGAATTTTTTTTATGTAAGTGACCAACCACTCATAATTTGTTGTACCGATGTATGCTGTTTATAATAAGTATGCATATTATTCAATAAACTCATTTAATTTAGTAGATTAGGTTTATGCCTTACTAAAACGCATCGTTTAAAAAACTTACTATTCCATACTACCTGCCCACCTTAAATTTCACAAAACATTATACTCTTGGACATATTTACGAAATAGTTTTAAAGACGCCCATGGATAACGTCAATATAATATAATATGAATAGCAGAATAGGTAGCGAGAACTGTGAAAAAAGGGAATATATTTTAACATTAATTTCGTAAGTATTTATAATTTATGCATTGTATATTGTTATTTTGACATACATGGAACCGTGATGGTCATCAGTCATCACCCATTATGTAACAAATACTTTTATATTAAATTATTAATATTAGTTAAAGAACTATTATTGTGTTTAACAAACGTAAACATAATATTTTTTTATATTTTATATATTATTGTTTACCAGCAACCGAAATACCAAAGCTAGGTAATAAGTTTCCATATTCTTGAGTTATCCAGCAAGAATTATTTATTATTTAACCGTTACATATTTGGCTGCAATTTAAAATCATTTTTTTTTTGATTAGGTTCCTATTATTTTATAAGAGGACATGGTACTATTCAAAAGTAAAGTGGAATGCTTAAAATGTTGTATACCTATACAATAAAACAAACACATTAAATCACCACTGCAATGTAATATATTATTCAACTATTATATGTGTTTACTGATTTATAGAGTAATCGATTTACTGAAGTGTTAAATTTATTTAAATCAATTCATATTATTTTGTTTTTAGGTACTTAGTTTTTGTAAAATATATCTTACCTAATAATAATAATAGTACCTTTTGGCTTATACACTTAGAACTCTTATTTACTAATAATAGTAATAATTTAAACTATATATAAAAGTTGGGAATCGGTGGATATTCAATATATGTTCCAAAAACGAAAAAAAAATAAACTGACATGATTGAATTCTAAATGCCTCTCTTTTGGGCAGTATTTTCAAAAAACCTAGTGCTCTTATAAGTATACCCCCTCCGAGAAAAACACGATTCGATATTTTTTTACTATTTTGAATGACAACTCATATGTTTTTTTATTCCAAAGAAGAATATCTTTTGGAGTTTTTCGATGAATAGAAATTGGATTTTGAATGAGAAGTTTATTAGTACCTATATTTAAAGTTGAGCGGAATGGAGTGGCAATGGAATGTGTACCTTGCAAAATGTCGGTACACTACTCCACTCATAAAAACTCTAATTTGATTTTTATTTATCGAAATAATTATTTCCCGAATAATACCTATATAATATTATGATTCGAAATGTAAAATAAAAAAGGTATGTTATCATTTCAAAAAAGTAAAAAGAAAAACTCGAGAAAAGATGACGACAACAAACGTCGTTTTGCGGTAACAAAATAAATTGTTATTTTCGAAAAATGTTAAGCATAGATGGTTTTTTTGAAACACGGATAATGGGTGTTGTCCGATGAGCGAGAATTGCGCCGAGAGACCATTATAATAATATTATCAGCACGCGCGCATACGTGTTTCCGGTGCGTTTATAATAAATGACGTATGGAATATAATATACGCATGATAATAATACACGCATTGTGGACGCGCGGGCGATACACGGTCTGATAACTCGGAATACGCAATTAGATGGCTCGCGGGCGGTTCGCGGCGGTCGAAGGGAGCGGCGCCGGCGGTCGTCAGCCGCTGGAAAACGTTTTCACCGCAGTTTACTTTTTATGTCAGTTGGTCAACGCGCGAGATGTTCGCCGCGCGGATTCGTCCGCGGAAGGGACACGCGGAGGCACCCGACAGTCCCCCCTCCCCCCCTCCCCCCCGAACACCCGCGCACCCGAAAACCGTATATTATTATTTTTACGGTGTTCTTGCTGGTCGTGCGCGGACGATGGAAGGCATGACCTACGCAAGCGCTCCGTTTACGTTGACGGCGTCGTCACGCCACGCGTGTACCTATATAACGTCCTGGCCACTTGTTCGGAACCATCACATCCACACCGGCGACGTACAAGCAACGATATCCAGCTGTGAGTTCGCACCGAACACGTATTGCTACCGAAATACTTGCTAAATTAATATTATAATCATCATGTCTCCTCCGTCCGTCGCGATGTCATCCGTTTGCGTAGCCCTAGCCGTTTTCGGTCTCGCCGCTTCCGTTCCCGTGGAACAACAACAACAGCGGCAAGAGGACGGCGCGGGTTCTGCCGGATTCGGCACGGTCCTGTGGTCGGTGCTGGACGACTGTTTCGGCGACGGTGACTCGACCGAACCGGCCACAGTGTGCCTCAAGTCCAAAGCGCTGACGGCCCTTGACCGGGCACTCGGCAAGCCCGCGATCACCGTCGCGGACGGCGTGACCCTTTCCGCCAGGGCTGGCAAGTCGCTGGCCGTCGACCCACAAGCTGACCGGGCCGACCGTGCCGCCCTGGACGCCGCCCCGGACGCCGACAGCAAGAACGCTCTGCTGGACGACATGCTCGCCAGCCGCATGGACAGACTCATGTCCACCAGGACCATCGTGCTGGACGGTGCCGGCCAAGAAGGTGAGCGAATTAAACGCGCGTTATCTATGTTACTTTTATTGTTTTATAACCACTTTGAACTTAGAAGTTGGCATTTGGGGTCGATAATATTTGTAACCATAAATGCGTAGTGGGTGAGCCATTTAATAGTTAAAATAATTTTCAAATATTTCACAACATCATAATACACCATAATAATATTATGTATAGTACAAAAACAACCCTCCAAAAGAGCAAATTTGAGACATGTAAATAATGTACAATAGGCGTAGTTCATTCAAGTGTTTACACTAATATTTTCGAAAAGTTATAACTGTTTTGAAAATATTATAAATTACATAATTTGAAATAAAACATAAAACTATGTAGGTAAATAAGTAAAATACAGTAACATGATAGTTTCCAAAAAGTTAAAATTTTTCCAAATACGTGCCCAAATACAAATTGATCGCCTTATGTAAATACACAATATATTATCATATAATATATATGTAGTATGTTATATAATATTATACTTTCACAATATCACGTCCACCAAAAATCGTCTGTCGGAGTACCGAGTAGAATTTAAAACCTTAATAATATAATATTACCTATACCGAACTCGACGCTTTCACAAAGTAATTCAATCGAGAAAACTCGATGCTCTCACACGGACGTAAATACGTTTTTTTTAAAGAACATCGTTTGGCACGTCCGTGTTAGTGGATATCGTCGCACATATAAATAAATATATCATAATAATGTTACCTATATTATACGAGCGTCGATAAATTTGCAATTTTTCCTGAACTCCAATCGAGATCGTTCGTAAAGTTTGAGAGACGGACAATCATAACGCATGTTAATATAAAATATTCGTTTAAATTTAAGTTTTCGGCGAATCCTTAAGTCTCGGTTCAATACAATCGTATTATTAGCATAAGATATCTTGGCTATATCGTCTCCACGACGTGATTTCGCCGCCATGCCATAGCTATAAATTAATATTTTTACCTACTATGTTGGGCCACGATGCCGTTGATCGTTTCGCGGTAACAGTATAGCGTGTGGATTTAAAATTTAAAATTATATGTAATGAGTTTATAATTTACATTTTAGACGACATTGTTATAAGTTATAATATACTATTCCGCACTATTGTAGGATAACGGCGATTTGTTCGTTTCTAGAACAGTTCTCACGACACAACCACGTCACGACTTATAGAGGCCGCGTCCAAAGTTTTTTCGGGGGTGGTAGACAGGCTCTCTGCTGATATCGAAGAGAGTTAAAAATCTCGAATTGTCTGGGTGCCTCTGGTATTTACATATTTAACTATTATAATAGTCATTGGGTGTCTTTAGATATTTTTCAAGGGGGGGTTACTCGATTTTCCCTCTACCACCCAAAGACAGATTTAATGATTGCCCATCAGATTTAATGATTTTTCAGAATTTATATATTTAATCCATAACAGAAACGAAAACTGTTACGTAAAACGTATACCTTTACAATGATTCACTTGATCATATGTTATTATTATTAGGGTAAACAGATAAAAATCATAAATTTCTTATTTCGTTATAATATCACACTAAATACCCAATGATGGGGAGGGGCGGTAGATATCCCTCTCTCCATCATAAAATTCGCCCCAGACGGAAGTCGTCTTATACCTCCTGTCCTAATCAGTCGGTTTCGCCGTGCCCTTCACAGGTCGCAAGAAGAAGGACAAGGCCATGCAACAGGCCATGATGATGGCCGGTATGATGGCCGCCGCGGTCATGGGCCCGATGGCGTTCAAAATCTTGGCGCTGATCGCCGGAAAGGCACTGTTGCTGAGCAAAATCGCACTGGTGCTGTCCGGCATCATAGCGCTGAAGAAGCTGCTCCAACCGCAACAGGGAGGACACGAAACCGAATCGGTGTCCCATCACTACGGCCGGAGCTTGCAGAAACTCGAAGCTCACGACGTGGCGTACTCTGGCCAAAAGCCGCAGTAGACAGAGCGTTATCAGGCTCGTTATCAACATCCTCGACGCGTCACATTTTAATATTATAATGTATTCATGTGTGTGCTACTATTAATTTATTATTTATTTTTTTTAATTTATAAGTTCAGGTCAAAACCGGTCTGTGAATGAAAACTGTATTCGTTCAAGTTTCGAGCTTGTCTTTTGAAAACTATTTTAACAATTGTATTTTATTATATAATAATCATTATTTATTACTGATGTTTATGTATTATTATAGAAACATATTATTATATGTGATGAATGGAAAAAAAAATCAAAATTCTTATGAATCCGAAATGTTTAATTATTTTGTCTGCATATTGTCGCCTAGCCAATTTATATTGTCACCTTTTTATGGTTGAAAAAAGATTCTTCTGGTTATGACAATAGCAAAGTATTTCGTATATTAAAGGGTCTTTTTATCGGGATTTTTTTTGCAATCAGTGTATGACATAATATAATAACACTACAGTTATTAGCACAAGGGGTGAGTGTTTTTTCTTATCATTTTTCGAAACACATAATAACTATAGTTATTTCAAAAATTGTAAGACATAGCCACCACAGTAAATTTGATTCAAACACATGCATAATGATTGGGTTCTAATGACATTACTTTTGTGTACGAAAACATTGAGATAAAAAATAAATACATTTTTACGTTCATTCCATGAAAACGTATTGGTACCAATTAATATTATACTATTAGGTTAATGTTATATTATTTGGTACCTATATAAAATGTATAACACGTTTCACGTTTCACGTTACAATTACAACGTACAAACGTTCCGGTTTGGTACGATCTTACAATTTATAAGTAAATATTATCGGTAAGTACACTGTTATTAGTGGAATTAAATAAAAGTTGAGCATAATTCCAAAAATATTTATTATGAGTGTCACAAGTTAAATGTTTAACAATATTTGTCTATATCACGAACGTTTGAAAATATTGTCTTGCATACAATGTATAAAATGATCATTTTTATAACTAAGGGTTAAAAAAGTAACACCTATACAAAGTTATTTATAAATAGTTTCATACTAAATCTAAAAAAATGTTTGAGAATTTTTTTTTATAGACATTTGAACTTCAAATTTGTACGAAATTAGACATTTAAACGAAGAATAACGATACTATAGGTACCTAGTTATTTTGTTGGAATTTAAAAACATTCTTTGTGAGGATTTGTAACCTTTAAGTCTTAACATACCTATATTATTATATTTTATGTACTGCACAATTACATTTTAAAATGTAATGTTTTTTTGCAAGCAATTCATTCAACCTAAATTAAATTACTTTCCAGCAACATAGATATATCTTTAAAACTATACTTAAGTAGGCTGTAGACCATCCTCGGTAGTGCAGGCTTCGCAATGACTTACATTTAATATTTTAATTCATATCTAACATATACATCAGAGTGACTTACTCGATGTATCAATGATGAGCTACACTTGAAATTCAAGTGCATACTGTACAGCAGAGCGGTTACCTACTTTTCCCCTTTTTTTTTACATAATAATATAATATCATGGTTAAAATATCCCTTGTTTATTTTTTTGGTTCAACATCATATTATATTAATATTAATATGGATCATTCGTCATCACTTTTTTCAAGCATTTCGAACTCCAACTACTACGGCCGCGAGTATATTTTCAGCATTATAAGAATTAAAAATACTTATCTATATGATACCCATAGCCCCTTTGAGAACTTTTCTTATAATATTTATAAAATGGTGTACGTAAAATATTAATACTTTAAATATATTTTTATTTCTTCCTGCGCCCCCCAATCGATTTCCTATGTCTCAGCTGCATTCAGCCTTTTAGGTAAAAGTCAAAGATTGTGCACAGTAAAGTTGTAGTCAATTATTTTGCATATTACGAGTTTTCAGAACATTTATGCTACATTTTTTCAGAAAAAAATACAATTTTAATATTAGTACATAATAGATTTATATAGATTAAGATTATAGATTCAATAACTATATTAACAATTTTATTTATATATTACATTTAAGGCCTTTGAGACTGTGGTGACTTCGGCGCTTATCACCACTTTGCTCAACTCATTCGCCGTTACCATCCGTTTCGCGGAACTTTTATATTATATTCGTATTTATACAACAACTGTGATTTCTAGTATTTATTGTCTCGATCTCGCGTCTCCCATTGGCGACGCCAAGCGACTCGTCCCGCGACGGGTACGACGCGGCCGACCGACCGGCCAGCGTTCTCTTTGCTCACAGCCCTCGACCGAGCCACACGTTTTCGTCCGACCCACGCGACCAACGACCGCTCAACCGTCGAATAAATATGCGTACTGCGTAAGTACAAATATGTTCTGGTTTTAATATACGACTTTCGACGCAACCGTGTCAATCAACGACATTGTGTGTTCATTAATTCATATAACTAAACTTGTGTACCTAATCCTTCCTGCAACGGAGACAGCAGCTAAACGAAGCGCATGTTAGGACAGTGCTGTTGCCCCAACCGACGCAGCGTCAACCACGACGATAGGGCAACGCACTTGTTGCTACAAGACTTATGAGCTATTTATTGTATAAATAAATACATAAAAATATAATATGAAATTGCCAACGAGAGCCATATCTAAAGCCCATTATCCCCTCCCTCCTGGATCTGCCTCTGTAATACAACATACAATGCACTATCTATTAATTGCTATATTATATTTTGTATATTAGTAATGGGCAGTGGGTAGGCACCGGCGTTTGTAAATTCCAACGACTTATAGGTAGTTGATTTTATTGTTGGATTTATAACGATATTATGATGTGAATTCCACTGACACACTTTTTTTTCACCCGAAAAAAAGTAGTTGCGACTCTCGAGTGTCCTAATGGCTAATGGTGACGTATCCAAATCGTAGTTATCAAGGCAGTATATTGGAAAGATTATTAGATGCAATTTGGCAAAGTGTAAGAAATGCAGTAAAACAACAATTTGAAGACGACTGCGGTTGTACCTAATAATATTAGTTATTACGTGTGCCGACGTTGTCGATATTTGCAGAGGCCGTATAAGATTGGCGGTTGACCGGCTCCTTATGTGGACTCAACAATAAAATTGTTATTAAAAAAAATTCTGAAACTAATACATTTATCGGTTCCTTGCATTCGGTCCGTATCAATAATATTATGTTAATATTGATTAATAAGAAATACGACTAATTTTTAAGATAGTAATAGATACAGTTGTTAAGCACCTTATATCCCCGTTGTATACTTTTTTACCAAAAACAATAAAATATACATTTTATATTGCAGGTTAATATCATTGTATATTATATTGCAATATAATTTACCATTGTTACGTTAGGTTCATAAAAAACACAATTTCGGGGGTAAGTATGTTACTGATACGTTTTTTACGAGACGCCTCTTATGGATTTGATGACTATTTGAACCCTTAAATCCACCACTGGCCATAATGCAGTTACATTTCCTGTCGTTAGTACCATGGAAATCAATATTAATACCTATAAAATCGTGTGTTTTACTAGTTGTCAATACAATCAAAATAATAAATTTGTTCATATTTAAATTTTAAATACTTTTTTAATTACTGAGAGGTTATTAAAATTATCACTTGATTCCAAAAAAAATCAAAATGCCGTATAGTCCGATAAATAAATGTTTAACAGCTACTGTGGACGTACGTTTACAACACAGATATTCGGACATCGGAACGGAGCTTTCGCGTACAACATATTTCAATAAAATAGAAGTGCTCTGATTGCTACAAATGCATTACATGCTAACACAAGACAACAAGAAACCTATGGATAAGTTCAATTTCATAAAGTTCATGGACGTTTTTTTAGAAGTGAGAAACCGAACGTAGAAGCCGTAGATAAAATATTTCTTCTTTGTGCCGAAACGAACAAGAAACACTTGACTGGGCCTGAGTTCGTTAAGATATTGTCGATGTTGTTAAAGGAACCCTATCCGACTTGATTCACTTTTGCTTCGAAGTCTACACGGAGATGATTAGATCACCGAAATACATTAAGAAAGAGGACGTGTTACTGATGTCCAGAAGAAACAGCATGAAAATGTGTAAATTAGTCAATATGGAGGAGTACGATCAGAGTTTCGTAAATTTCGTCATGACCGAGGTGGACAAGGATCGTGATAATAGAATTTCACTGGAAGACTACCATAAAGCTGTGCACGAAAATGTCGCTTGGTTGCAGTTCTTGGGGCAAATCCTTCCGTCGTGCTCCCAAAAAGAGATATTTATGCGATTATTCACTGAGCGACCATACGTCAACAATTTAGAATCCACAGCTGCAGCGATGACTCGACAAAACAGGAAGAGCATTGCCAGGATGACGTTGCTGAAATCGACAATTAGCCAACCCGATACCACCGCTAGTAATACGTCATTTATATTTATTAATTTATTATATTTATTTATGTTTATATTAGTGTTAAAAATCTTTCATTAAAACCAAATAGTACAGTTTTAACGAAAGAAAAATATGCAAGTTTGATGATACACGTAAAAAAAGATTGAATAAAAAAGGAATCTTCTAGTAACTATTTGTTAGAAAAAAATGGCGATATTGTAAAAATAAACGGCATTAAAAAATGAATACTACCCGTAAGTAATCAAAATTAAAATGTTAAATTATATGTTATGACTGAAGAAATTTTTCATTATTACATATGAAATTCATATTTCTATTGAACACGGCCGTAGAGTGTAGAGATCGCATGTAATATGAAATAAATATAAACGTTATAAAAATATTACTCAATCTGATGTTAAGGAATACTTGAAATTGTGTATACCTTGCCAGCAAAAAAAAAAAAAATTCAAAAAAAAGCTATTGTTTTAAATCAATGGTGTTTGAAGATTTATACAGCCGCAAATAATGTAATTATAATTAATTCAGTAAAATAAAATATTTTAATATATTATTTAAAATTGTAATGTATTTT